GGAGGTTGATGATATTGTTTTTGTTGTGGAGAAATGCGATGATGGATGGTTTATTGGTAAGTTTTGGGTCTAACAGTTTAACAAAAATAATCTCTTTTCTTAGCAAAGTAAAACAATAAGATTAACGATTACATGATGGAGAGTATTTAGGAACAGTATTGCGAACTGGACAGTTTGGAACATTTCCTGGAAACTACGTCGTTAGACATTAGAACTACGTGATACGAAATTTTGTACTTAAAGCACAAATAAATCTTGATTACAGTAAGAAATGCATGTGTTTTACATAGTGTATGACGTAGAATCGCGCTTTGCTTGTTATGATGCTTGTGATACCATCTTCTAAATTTGGCCAAAAGTCCAGCCCCGTAGGGGACTCGAACCCCTGACCGTTAGATTAAAAGTCTAACGCTCTACCAACTGAGCTAACGAGGCTCCAAAGTTCCCAAATCCTATCACCTACTATTTATTGTGGGAATAGGTCACAAGTACTATGGTAGTTCTAGATTTTTTTTATAACGGAAAGGGCTATCATTGCAGTTGGCTTGCTGCTATTGTAATTTAGAAAACAGAAAAACCATTGACTGATTTAGTTGGGATCACTTATGAATGTATGCGCAAGGTCAAGCTTGCATATAACACAGCGAACTCACAATCAGAGAAAACCTACTAACAAAAATAGTCCGGTAGAACTCCGTGTTGCTAGTATGGCATCACCGCGATCCCGATCAGAAATCGGAATGCTTGGTGACGCGTGCTCAATGCCTTATCGCGTGGTTCTATGTGACCGATCCGTTAAAAATATTCCATGCCATCGAATCACCAGCACCACATCTATAATTGAGACTGAAGCTTTTTAGATGTTGATGCATTAGTTGTGCTTCCGGAACAGATTTTAACAAAGAACTGAAGTTAGGGAAACTGAGAAGGCTTTGTTATTGAAAGAATGATACCCAAAACTGAGCCATGGACTAGACATTAAAAGTAAGACTAAAGTTGCCTTTATCTAATTTGGACAACGGCTTGGTCCTAAAGTATGATACCGTGAAGCAGTTGCTCGCGAATACAATTAC